CTGAACTTAAAGTTCCAGATATGTGTATGAAGGAAATGTGAGCTTGTCTTTTAACTGGAAACTGTTAGAAGTGTGAAAATTATGTCTGATAAACACATATTCTTCTGCATGCTCTTTGCCCAGCTGATTGCTTCAGTAAAAACTGTTTCAAGAAAAGCTTGGAAGTTGCTAGGAAAAACAGTTAAAGGAGAGTAACTTTCCAGTAGTGACTTAACCACCATGTACAAGAAAGTGATTTCTCAATCTTTGTCTCAGCTTGCAGACACGTAGTGATGCTAGGAGCTGATTCCTTGTTGCTCACACTAGTGTAGTTCAGCAATAACATCGGTATTGTTTGTGAAATCTGGCAGCCTGAACTTGATGGGGACTTATAGTCAAACAAGAAGTCAGTCTACTGGGAATTACTTTGGTTTGTGTCTCACCGTGACTTTAACTTTGATATTCTGGTCATTTAAATCTGGATGCCAAGATTTTGCCTTTGAAGGGATGAGATGTAACCATAGAAGAGAATATACGGCACTGAATTACTGTGCATGCATTCAGAGGAGTTAGGTTTCTGATCTTGCAGCTGCAAGATTGCCTCGTGGAAATTGGAGTGCTAAAGAGCTTAAATGTGTAAATGGATGTTGCCTGTAGGCAACAGTAGGATGGGTTCTACTTGTATTTTGTCAGGTAGCTGCACAATTTCTTGTTTGAAGAGCAGTATGGGGTTTTAAATCTACAAAAAGCTATAGACAGGAATATGTAAATATCAGGAGAATAAGGGTAAAATTTTGTTTCATTGGTAATGGAGGAGTTGCTCATAATTTATGTCCAACTGGTCAAAAATGCACCTAAGGTGCATATTTCAGTTGCTTGATAAAATTGTGTTTGGCTTCCTAAAATAAATTGTCTTTTTGGAATAATTTAGATTGGGAGATTGTCTGGTCCAGTCCCCTTCCTCAAAGTGGGACGGTACTGCCTTAGATCAGGTTGTTCAGGGCCACATGCAGCGGAGGTTTGACTATCTTCGGGGATGGAGATCCCACAGCCTCTCTGGACTGGTTTTTTGCCTAGGAGCTTATGAGAATTTTCTATGTTGCAGCTTGTTTGTTGCCTTGTGTCCTGTCACTGCATACCTGTGAGAACGGCTGGATTATATTTTTTCCATATCCTCCCTGATTTAACACAGACTTGCTGATGGAGGAGCTGGATATGATAATTGCAAGGATAGTAAATGGAGAACTAGAAATAGCAAATCTTATAAAAGCATCAGTACACAAGGCTGTCTTGTGCTTTATTTCTAAAAGCCCAAAAAAATCCAAACCTTAGAATATGTAGACATAGAACATAAAAAATATAATATTGTAAAAATGGAAAAAATCCAATTTTTGTATCTGAATCAGCATATTTTTATTTTAATATACTTATTGACAGAGGACTTCTTTTTATACTGTGAAAGTGTTTTTTATGCAGTATTTCAGAAAAGGGCTAGTCTGGCACTAGCTACGGTTGCTAGCAGCCTATAATGCTGGCTCTGTGTTTAGAAAATGATGGTAATTTATTACAAAGAGACTTTTATTCTAGTATTTTTAGCTCACAGCCGAGTGTTTAATGAATCTCTGCTTGGGCTCATTGAATTTATGTTCTCCCTTCCCCCTGCCTCATTTTAACCATTAAGATACTGCCTTTCTTGCTGCAATTCCAAAAGCTGTACTTGGTCTACTAAATAGCAGACTTATTCACAAAGTGCTGTGCCTCAGTGCAAACAAGATTTGAAGGCTTTCTGGGGAAGCCACCAAAGACTAATGGTGTATGAGTCTCATGATCAGAAAAGGCAGCTGAATGATCGAGGATGGCTGGTAAGCTAAAGCTGATAGTTCAAAACCAACCAAAATTCATTTTATCTCTGGGTTCCCCACTGAAAATGGCATGTTCAGTGAGAGTGGGCAGACCCTTAAACTCTTCATCTGTTCTGAAGCATAGTTTGCTGTATCTTCCCAGAGAATAGTCTGCCTCCAGATTGTGAGACTAGTGCTTGAATGTGACAGGAAAGAGTACAATGATATGGCTTTCCCTTCTACTTGAATGTCTCCTTTAACTGTTCATGTGTAATTACTTTTAATGAGACTCAGAAGCCAACTCTGTGACTGGGAGATGTATTTTTTTAATCTTTCCATGCAATTGTTCACTTGGGTGACCAGAAGAGAACTTATGCCAAACCTTTTCTTGTACTAATGACTAAAGTTAAAGTTATTTTTGATGCTTGCCTTCCCACCTTCTCTATGTGAGTGGATTAGCTCTTTTTCAAACACCATAGTGTTGGGTGGATACTATTCAAAACTTTTTTTTTTTACCCTGTCATGGTATTTACAAGTCCTGTGCTATTTTCTGATGGGTGGTGTTATAGATTTCATAGCAGTTTTTTTTCTGAGTTTTTAAATGTCGATTCAAAGGACGACTGTTATGTATTCTAGCAAAGAAATGTGAAGCATTGCATGTGAAATACAATGGCCAAGATGAAATTAGTTTTACGTGGAGAAGACTGAAGTGCAGGGGAGAGACTGCTGAGGAGATCAATATTCAAATAGAAAATAGGTTAATCATTTGGGGAGGAGACTAGAATGTTAGGAGCTGGTTTTGGAAGACAATATATAAGCAACTATAATGCAAGAAGATTTTAAAATAATGCAAAACGAGAAATGCTGAGGTTGAGAGTGGAAATACTTCATAGTAAGTATATTTATATCCTTATGTCTATATACAGATAAATACTTAGATTTATACTCACTTAAGTAGAAATACTTCAGAAAGGAGATGTGGCTAGAGAACCAAGCACTGTTAAATGCTAAGAGCTAGTAGTTTAGCATTAATGTCAGTAAACCACCCCTGCAGTGTCTTCAAAGGCACGTGGTTTCAGAGAATTGCTGATGTCATGCTGCAAGGCAGAGTTGTGATGGCAGGAAGCAAGGAGGACCCCAGATGGTAGTAGCAAACACGAAAACTGTGAACACAGTTAATGTTGTGGGGATCCGTTTATCAAATGGGATAATCTCCACTTTGATGTGTTATGACTACTGGTGTGATAGGAGTTGAAGGCCACTTCTTCATGTTAGTTTACTTTAAATTCTTCATTATAGAACTTTAAAGGCAAAACCTTGGGCCTTACCTACAACATTAAGTACCCTTACCATCCCATTAACTTAGTGCTACACGTGGGTCAGCAATCTATAAATGCTTCTGAGCAAGCTCTACTGTTTTGCTCTCTCCTGTCCTGCTGTTGCTATTCCTGTGTGACAGATGGGGACCATTGGATCAGTATAAGGCACTTTCCTGCACTAGCTAAATTATGGATACCCTAAGGCTTGAACCAGGATAGCTGCCTAGTGAAAATGCACACTGCTTCCTATGCAACAAAAATATATTGGTATAACTGTCATGTAGAGGGGACACAGACTCCACACAGTAGCGTTGTGCAGATCAGGTTTATTATAATGCGCTCGCACATCTAGCAGTGGGTCAGGATACTGCTGTGATAATGTTACATGCGTGCTAACCACAAAGACAGTTTTAATTTAACTTCTTATTTCAAGCACTATGAAATTCACAGTAGCCAGACTTGAGAGCAAAGGTGAAGAGATTTGGAAAATAATGAGAAATTAAAGGAAAAGTTTTCAATTTAGCCTTCTGATTGTGTTCTGCAGGCACCACAGCAAAAGTTTGTAGGACAATAAGATGTCTTTGTATTTGTGAAGCCCTCCCAGAGGTGTGGGATAGCATGTAAGAAAGCGTGAAGGAGCATACTGAATTTTCAGAGAGCGCTGTGAGCTGATTGCAGGGGGGGGATCAACATATCCATGCTGCATAAGGAACTGGTAGATTGAGAAGAGCTGTTGAAGGTCAAGCTTCTCTGTGAAGGAGCAACGAAGGTGGGGAGAGAGTAGAGGGATCTTTGTATCAGCTTCTGAACAAATGTGAGCAGGGTGTCAAGCACTGCCACATCCTTTTCTCTGTTGTTAGGACATAAGATGGGGGTAGGTAAAATGTGCATGATGACATCTTTCCTGCTAGTACATACAGACTAGTTGAGGTAGAAGAAAATGGAGATACAGCATTGTAGTCATGATGAAAATTGATGACAAGATTCAAGAAATGTTATGTGGGACAAAATGTGTATTTGAACAGAAGGCAAAATGTTAACCATCAGTACTAAAAAAACTTAATAGCTTGTTGAGTTGGTAGGAGAACTTACTTGGAAGAACCAAGGCAATATTCCTGTTTCTGTTAAAGAAAGCCTCAAACAGGCTAGCATCAGCTTTTTTCTTTATCAGCAAGTGCTCTTTTGGGTAGGCTTTCTCTATAAGAAGATCAGGGATGGGTTGGGTAGGTCAGAGGTGTCTGGAAATGTTTCTAATGAGAAGCTGTAAAAAAATACTAATGTGAACTATTCCTCAAAGCAGAAGTATGACATAAAAATTGCACTTCAAGAGACGTCTCATTAAGAATTATGTGGAATTCCCTCAGGAAATCTCCTTCAAACAGTTGTTTGTACCACTTCTGTCTCTGATTAAACACGAAAGATCACAATGCACAATCCAAACTTGTATGCTAGACTTGATATCAAATTGCCATACAACTTCCTTCCATCTACAAATCGAGAAATTTCTTGGAAAGCTCTGAATCATATACTTTCCATGAAAATTTCTACCTCTCTAGCTAATGGACTGGTCTTGCTTTGTTGTTTCTTTTCTTTAAATTTAATCCCTGTCTGGCTCTAATTCTTGATAGATGAACCAAACATACTAAAGGATGTTTTTATACTAAAAACTAGCATGGAGGAAAACAACTGTGGGTGTTTTATCAAGGCGACACTGGAATTTTCTAAATGCACATGTGGTTTTTTGTGATCTTCTAGGCAATTCAACCTTAATTGATGTTGCTTTACATATATGTTTTAAAAATTATTTCCAACAAAAACAAAATAGGTAAAACACAAAATATTGTACCTACTGTATCAGATAGCTGTGCAGGTTTGTTTAATTGATGGATTTGAGTCTTTTCTCTTGCACTTAATTTTATCTTTGTTTTTACAGGAAATAATGAAAAAAGTGTGCCACAACTCTTGATCAGAGACCTGAAATTTGAGAAGAAGTCATTAGCTAAGCTCATGTTTTCTCCTGATCAAGAAAATCATCCATCAAAAGCACCAGTAAAATATGGTGAATTGATTGTATTAGGGTAAGTGTTTGTGTCTTGGATGGAAGTGAGAATGAAGATAGAATTTCAAGGTGCTCTTAAAGCAGGTAACATGGAGGTTGCTGTGGGAGGTGGTCCCACAGTCTGTCACCTGAACTTCCTTTTTTGCAGTATATATCTAGTGAGCATGCAACAGAACGATGAGTTGATCAGCTTTTCTTTGGTAGCTGATCTCATCTAAGGGACGGAGTGGAGGGAGAGCTGCCTTTTTCAGTGGCAACCAGGTGTTATACATAATGTGATATATTGGAAAGTTGCACTGCAGTACGTGACCTTTTTTGTGACAGCATGAGCCTGGAGCTGGGCTCTAAACACTTGAGTAGATGTAAGCTTATTTTTTGGCTCTTGTGTTCTTCCCAGGTAAGCATTTAATGACAGAGGCAGACAATTTGCAAAGGCTTTCCAAATTGCTTGCAGGTTATACCTAGGCAGATGACTAATGTGGAAGGAGAGGTTCCCTAAGACTTCAAGTAAAATGAAAAGAGTTTTATAAGAACGTGGTCACTGACACTATAATATCCAGGTGCAAGCAGAAGATTTTAATAAAGCAGGTTTGCCGGCTGGCCTGTTTATGCTAATGTGTTCAAAGTGAGGGTCTGACAGTTTTCTAATGGATTAAATTGGAGTCTTGGAGGACAGCATATCTATTTCTTATGGGTTTTTATTTCAGTCAAAGTTCTTTAAAATACTAGCTCTCCATTAGAGTTGGTGAGTATTTAGAATCTTTCATTTACAGTGTGAACACATCATTTAGAGAATAAAGCTAGATAGGTATATAACCTTACATATTCTCATGTTTGGGACCCAAGTCTTCGCTTGTTGATCGTAGCTTTGGGATTAATCTGCATTCCTTGCCCTACAAGCTTGTGTATATATGTTGTACTTTTGCAGGTATTTTTCAATATTGTGTTTATCAATTCTCAGATTTAAATAGATATGATTAATTGGAAATCTGTTATTGTTAATACTGTACTAATTAAGAAGTCTTTGTGCTTAGAATGAAAGTTCTTGTGGGTCTGTATCTCATGAGAAGCTAAGTAATACAGGAAGATGGACTTGGTTCTTTTTCTGTGCTTTTTGATAGGTACAATGGGTCTCTCCCAAATGGAGATAGAGGAAGAAGAAAAAGTAGGTTTGCTTTATTTAAAAGGCCCAAAGCAAATGGGGTGAAACCTAGCACTGTGCATATTGCCTGTACCCCTCAAGCAGCAAAGGTAAGCTCAGTTTGTCTAGTTAAGTCTTGTTTCTCCTGGTGCTGTCTAAAGAGTTCAGTGAACTCCGTGCTGTTATGCTGAGATGAAGTGATGTAAAAAACATGAAGTTCTCGCTGTGAAAAGAATGGTTCATGTTTATCCAAGGTTTTTTAGTACCTGTCAGGGTTAGCAAGAAGCCGTTCAGCTAAACAAATCTGGTGCCCCATCCTTTTTGTGTCCAGAAAGAAAAATGTTTATTTTTGAAACATGAATGTTCACGGCACAGGCTAGTCGTGTGAAACACTTTCTATTTTGTTTTCCTTCCAAACTCGCTACAGACTTCCTGTTTTTGCATTCACTCATGCTTTAGGTCTAAGTTTGCTTCACATGAAGCTGACTTTGAAATGGTCCTTTGCCACAGCTCTGCGTGTACTTGATACTCTTCTCCAGTGTGTAGGAATTCCCCAGGGATGAGGAGATGTGGGTTTTGCAGGGCATGTTTTATATGTCTTGTAATCAAGTTCAGAGTTCCCATTAAGAAGCAGTAAAGGGCGGGCTTAGGTCCTGAAGTTGAATTGTGTTTCATGTCACAACTATTATATTATAGCTAAAGGTATTACCATGAAATGCTTCTGTATTGTGGCATTTCAAGTGTACATGCAATTATGTTCAATAAGAAATTGAGTGTTTCTACTAAAACCAATGGAATTTGAGAATGCTTAGTGGTTATTTAGAGATCTTCAGTGGTCGAGATCAGGCCCTTGAACAAATATGGTGGTGTTAAGTGTTTGACTCCCTAAATATCTTGACACTTAATATTGATTCCTAAATTCAGGGAATGGCATAAAGTATTTTGAAATAAAAAACATTTTGCTAACCAAAGTTATTGTAACAGAATTGCATCTATAGGAGATCCACAAAAAGAACATTTATTCTTGCTGATTTTTTATGGTCTTCAAGTAAGTACTATTTAGAAGCACTTCTAGGAGAGTGTTCAGTTCCTAGTAGGTAGTTGCAGAATGAAAATTTAGACTATCAAACTGAAACCTAGGTTACTTTGCTACAACTTCTGCAACCTGTGCTGAGTTTCTCCATTTTACTCTGTTTACCACCACTACTAGTTACATTTTTTGTCTGTGTATTGTATTAATCATCAGTGATTTTAGTAGGAACTCGGATCCTGGTTTTAGAGTGAAGTCTTAAGTTTTTTGTCCTCACTTTGCTGTTAGAGAAGTTGAGGCTGAGAAGGCCATGAAGATATTACAGTCAGTTTTAGCTTTGAACTCAGTTGTTTTGCTCTTTTGTGTCAAAGCCAGCATTGTTTTAACATGAAGCATGACTAATAATATGTCTTAGTTACGTTTATTTTGTTGTAGTGTGCAGTAAAGAGACCAGTTTGGTCTGTTGCTGAATCAATCCTGCAGGTTTTTTTAATGGCCAGGACTGGTTTTTGTGGAGTTTAAGTACAGGTGTGTCACTAAAAACCATCCACCTTAATGCATTAATTGAGCAGAAAAAGAGCCTGGTTTTGTATATAGTCTGCTTTGCTGCTGTATTCAGTAGAGTTATTGTTCACTGGTTCAATAATATTTGGCGTTTTTTCCATAGGCAATAAGTAATAAGGACCAACACAGCATATCTTACACTTTGTCTCGGGCTCAGACAGTAGTAGTTGAATATACACATGACAGCAACACAGATATGTTCCAGGTATGTGAAGTAAATATGGTATATAAATCTATTCTCACTCTTGGTATTTTCTAACAAAACATCCTCTCAACAGGCTTTTTCCCTCCGACCCAAAAGTTTGCACATGTCACTTTCTGCACTGTACTATTCAGAGACATTTAATTCTGTTCATTTCCGAGGCCATCACATGAACAAGGCTGTATATCTATGCATCCCTTTTAGGCTTGGTCAGAGGTGAAAGCTGTTTTTTTGTGACTAATGCACAGGATTATGGTTTTGCCTTTGCTGGTCTGCAAGTCATATAACGTGTCTTCTAGTCCCTCCTTGCAAAATGAAGAATAAAGTGCACAGTTCTCTTTAAGCACGTGGAACTTTGGTTCTAGCATTTACAAAGGGATTTGAGATCACACAGTTGGAGATGAGGTAGAAGAAATACGATGGGAATTACAAAAAGCTTTTGACACAACTAATATGAAAAATACCCCTAACTCTTTTAAGCAAACCCAGAAATAAGTCTAAATTGCTGGGAAATGTGTAGAGAGGAGGCCGAGTTCTGATATGCTGGCAGTTCAGAGCAACTTTGCTGCAGTTCCTGTATGTATGAGAAGGAACCACAAACACATTTGCAGCTGTGGTGTGCATTCATATCTTATAATTGTTTCCTGTTTTTCTCAAAAGGAAGGGTTTTGTTGTGGGGTTTTTTTGTGTGCTTTGTTCCTTCTGATTCCTGAACTGATCTTGTGTTGATTTGTTTTTTTATTGTTGCAAATTTATGGCAAGGAGTTTTGCTGTCACAGCATTTAGCTGTGACGCCACTGCAGGATCTAAGGAGGTGGGAGGTGTTGGTAAGTGGCAGAGGAAGCTGCTGTGCAACTGCAAATACCTACAGCAGAGCAAAAGGGCTGTAATGAACTAACTGCAGCATAAACTATCGTTTGTGTAAGTGTTCTTTTCTCAGGCATGCTGTGGCATGTATGCTGCTCTAAAATTGCCAGTGGCAATCCCTGTGTACTGATGGGTTGTCCTTCCTAAGCAGCAATAGAAAAATACATTCTGACAAAGCAGTTTCAGTCTCATGAAAGCTCTCCAGCGTTCACCAAAAAGCACCTCAGGCTTTTGGGTCTCCTGCCCAGCAGTTAATCAGTCTTAATATAACCAGCTATTTTATAAGAGGCTGAGAGCTCTGGCAGTGAGTGAAAGGTACTAGTGTGTAAGCAGGCTTTAAAGCTGGCTATGCGGATGTTTGGGAGAGGGCTGTAACTTCTCCTCATACTTCATAAGGAAAAGGACAAGATGAGTTGTCTGGAAAAGCAGTGAAAGCCATGCAGTTCTATCAAACCCTGTAGAGTTGTGTGGGACTGCAAAACTCATTCTTTCATGCAACCAGAAAAGAAGGCACAGCTGCTAGAAAAATCTGATTGTAGTCGGATGTTGCATTCTTGTTGTGTTCTGTGCATATAAACGTAAGCCCTCCCTGCCACAAACCTCTTGTATGTGGTCTTTCCTGACAGATTCGCTGTTTCTCAGTGCCCCATCAGAGCTGGAGAGCCAGCTCATGTAATCTAATTTTCCTACATCTACACCTCCATCTAGTTTGGTATTGTTCAAAATATTCTGGGCATGCAAAGTGACTGAGTATCACTTTTCTTCCATCTAACTGCTGTTTCCTAGCTGTTTTGGCGCTGCTGCAGCTGGTCCAGCTGACCTGAGTGTAGCCTTTCTGATGAGAACGCCTTCAATGGGAAATTGTCTCAGAATTGACTTAATTACATCACTTTATATTTCCCCTTTGTTCAGTTGGCTGTGTGCAGCCTTCAGAATAACTGTAGTCACATGGAGGTGGAATAACTCATCAGTTCAGATTAGGCTTTAGAAACCTAAATTTAGATTGGTGGAGGGGAATGCTTCAAACTGGAATGTCATGATTTTTTTCTGCATCACTTTTAAGTGTTTTGAGTTTGAATATTCCTAGATCCGAAGGCAAACTTCTAAACAGTTTTTTTTTAATCCCTTTCCAGATTGGTCGGTCAACGGAGAGTCCTATAGACTTTGTCGTGACAGATACAGTTCCTGGAAGTCAGAGTAATTCAGATACACAGTCTGTGCAGAGCACTATATCAAGGTTTGCCTGCAGAATCATATGTGAACGTAACCCTCCTTTTACAGCAAGAATATATGCTGCAGGATTTGACTCCTCAAAAAACATCTTTCTTGGGGTAAGAGAACTCTTTCTTTTTTTCGAGTTCAGTGCAGGCTTATTTTTAAACTAAGTCATAGCTCCACTTCAGCCAAATTAAAAGTTGTCATTGATGTAATTTCTCTTAGGAGAAAGCTGCAAAGTGGAAGACATCAGATGGGCAAATGGATGGTCTAACCACAAATGGAGTTCTTGTTATGCATCCTCGTAATGGATTTACAGAAGACTCCAAGCCAGGGGTGTGGAGAGAGATATCTGTGTGTGGGAATGTGTTCAGCCTCCGTGAAACCAGATCAGCTCAGCAGAGAGGAAAAATGGTAAGAGTACTTGTTTTATGCAACCTGTTTAAAATGGGTGTAACCATAAGTGGTAAAGTTTGGGCATAAACAGAAGCTGGAATCTGCCTCATTCGGTGTAGATGTTGCCTCTGTAATTAGTTACACTGACTTCTTATGTGTCTGCCTTCATACAAGAAGGTGGCTTGCTCAACCTGAATAACTGACAGTTTATCTGCAAACTAGTACTTAATTGTAGATCTAGACTGCTCTCCTACATTGAGTTGCCAGTCTGCTCTGCTCTTCTGCAAACTGTCATAGCCATGCACACATTTTGAAGAGTGTTTTCCTGATTCTCCCTCTTGAGTTTATGCTTTTAAGGTTTTCCTGCTTTTCCTTTTTTTATAGAATAATAAAGAATAATTATAGTTTTATTGACAGATGCCTGTATACGTGGATATCCATTTCCACCATTGAGTTTTCATCTTGTTTCCAAAGCATTGGCAACATTTCCAGGAGATTATTTGTTTTGGTATGACTTGGGATCTCTTAGCAAAAATAAATGCTACGTGTTAAGTGATGCATTTAGTTAGGAATTCTGACAGTTGACTTTTTCTGGAAGAGAGGAAAGCCATGTGTAAAGGTGTGTTTGAAGAAAACAGTCTAATGTGATGGAGGACTAACCAAGACTTGTCTTGCGCCATTCCTCTGATGCATTTAAAGTAACATAGTTGGGAGTGCTATAGGGATGGAGTTGAGAGAAAATGTTAAGGTTTGAGAAGAGTTCTGCGTGTGTTTTTTTTTTTTAATGTACATTAATCTCTTCTTAAGAAGTTTGTTTTGTTTTGTTTTAAAAAAAGCGGGAGAGAGAAGCTGGCACTGGGCTCTCTATGGGTATCTTGTATAGGGCAGTCAGGAGCTGCTTGAAACTTTTTGTTTGGATCTTCCAGGCAGGTTTGTATTATGAAAGTACTTTGTTACTCTTCGGGCAACCTTAGGTGACACCTCTTTCTCTTTGTCCATCACAAGGTCGAGAACGAAACGAACCAGCTCCAAGATGGCTCTCTAATTGACCTGTGTGGAGCGACACTCCTGTGGCGCACTGCAGAAGGGCTTTCACGCACTCCTACTGTCAAGCACCTGGAGGCACTAAGACAGGAAATAAATGCAGCGAGGCCCCAGTGTCCCGTGGGGTTTAACACCTTGGCATTTCCCAGCATGAAGAGAAAAGATGTTGTAGATGAAAAGCAGCCGTGGGTGTATCTGAACTGTGGCCACGTCCACGGCTATCACAACTGGGGAAACAAAGAGGAGAGAGACGGCAAGGATCGCGAGTGTCCCATGTGCCGCTCTGTCGGCCCCTATGTGCCTCTGTGGCTTGGATGCGAAGCGGGATTTTATGTGGATGCAGGACCTCCAACTCATGCATTCAGCCCATGTGGACACGTATGCTCAGAAAAGACAACTGCATATTGGTCCCAAATTCCTCTTCCTCATGGTACTCACACTTTTCACGCAGCCTGTCCGTTCTGTGCGCATCAGCTGGCTGGTGAGCAGGGTTATATCAGACTTATTTTCCAAGGACCTCTTGACTAACACGTGTGTTACTGAGGACTGCAGTAAACTGATAAGCTAAGGGATTCTGATTTTTAAGCCAACTGTTTTTCGTATTCTCTGGGCTTTGCTGGTTTGCGTTAAGATGAAGAATTTTTGGTTTTTTTTGTTACAACAGCTAAATTCCGCTCTATTGAGAAAGGTCTGGAAATGGAAGAAACAGGGGAAGAAGGGGGAGAACTCCTGCTTTTGGTAGTTAATAACTACTTTTGAAGAGGTGAAGGAAGTGTTGTAGCATGAACTTCGATGCCTTCTGTTTAATGGTTTTGAATCACATGCCCACAGTGTTTGAAAGTTGTTTCATTCTTTTTGTATATGGAGGGTAAATAGTTCAAAAAACATTAGTTTACAGCTTGGATGCAAACGTTGTAAAATATAACGTGTATATTAACTCTTTTCTATTTATCTTTATTATTGAAAATATGTAGAACGTTTAGAGAGTAGCGTGGTCATAGTGTGTTACATCCAGCGACTGGATGTGTAGAGTAGCTCTGGATGGAGAAGACATGAGATGGAAATGGTAGAAAAATCTTTTTTAATCTAAAATACTGAGTTCTTAGAATAGTTAAAGTGCTTTTTAAACAAAGCTAATGCAAATTATGATGGAATAAAGGTGTGCTTTAACCATGTTGAAAGGTAGCTAAGAAGGACTTCTTAAAATGTCTTTTTGGTAGGACTGTACTTAAGATCTGGTTATGAGAATATTTACCAGATTCTTTGAATATGCAACTTAGTCTAGATTAAGGATTTTTTCTCCCTTCATGCTAACACATCTCTTTATTTAGCATTAGTGACATTTGTGAGGGTTTTTCCAATGTTAAACGTTAACAAACCTGAAAGACCAGGCTTGTTTTGTTCCTTGCTGTTTGGGGCAGGGGGTGAGGGGAGGGGTGGATGTGCCTATGCACATGTGGGGAGCAGGGAGCAATTTGTGAATTGGCCACAGTCCCAAGTTGTGACAGACTTGTCAGTCAGATGTTCTGCCTTTCATCTGGCCCATTGCAAACTGGTGTGTGGGAGCCAAGGGGCCTTCACATGCTTGCCTTGACCCTGCTGTGAGCTGCAACTACTCATTTAGGCCACACACGGAACAAAAGTTGAAGCCTGGTACCCAAGGGATGCGTGCCTACATCCTGGCATCCTCGTGCAACTTGACACAATTGGCAATCTGTGAGGGGAGAGCTTGAGCTGGGACTGGACTGGACTCTTAGACCTCGGTGTGGGATGCTTGTGTAACGTCTGCTCACACTGTGGTGGGCTCTAGTTAGTAGCCTCTCTCGATGCTCTTCCCTCCCTACCCTTCCTTTCCCTTCTGTATCCACCAGAAATGGCCAGTGCACTACATCCAGCTTTGCTGCTAACCCACTGTGCTTCATGGCAAATAAACAACCTGACATTTTTTAGGATTGAGTTGAGCTTTTTTGGCCAGCTTCATACTTTTTTTTTCAAAATGCATACTGTATAATTGACAGTAGCAAATTTCTGTAGCTTATAGCATAGCTTTAATTTTTCCTTTCAAAGCTGTTATAAAATTTTTTTGGTTTAAAGAAAGACCTATGTTGCGTAGATGTCATGAATTATTTACTTTGACTGTCAATTGTTTCTCCATTTTGAAAAAGAAATTATATATATTGTTTGGTTCACTCAGGAAATGCATGTGTCAGGAAACCTGTATTATAAGTTCAGCTAGCTGTCATGTACAAGTAACTGCTGTTACACCCTTTCCATAGAAATATAATTGATTTTGACATTTTCCAGATTATATGCATTAAGTAATGAAATTTATGCAGCAAGAAACCCCTGTATTGTAGTTGTTATAATCATTTTATTCAAATGATATTATACTGTAGTTTAATTTTTATTTGCAAATTAATTTATTCAAACTACATGAGTAAACACTTTTCAAAAATAGAAATTCTGGGATTGTCTTTTGCTTTGTTTACACGAGATGGGAAAGGTGGCTGAAGACGACCCTTCTGCTGTCACGTAAGGTGCCCGTTCTGCACGTGTGGATTAAGATCACAAAAAAGAAGCAATTGTAAAGAGCTTGCATGTTATCCCAGACATGGATTTGAATGGCTCCTTTCAGATGTGACTTTTCAATGTGTTTTATATTTAAGCCTACATTTAACAAAGCGAGATTCTTGTGCAAAAGATGTAGTTAAAATTATCTCTTCCCTGAGCAAGTTACAAATAACAAAATGTAAGCAAAAACTTCAACTAAATGGCTAGGCTCTTATAAAATGTCAAGAGCTCTTGATTCCATCTTCCACAAAATTGGATTGACGCTTTTTCTCTGGTCCTGATCTTGTTGACTATGGGGATGTGAAAAATCAGAAAAGGACATAATGAAAGCTACAAAGCAGTATGAGTAATACAGAGATGAATTGTGAAAACAGATTGCAAACTGGATGGCAGCAGACGTATGGAAAGTGGTGTACTCGCTCCGTGTTGGAGTTACAGCTGGATGCTGGTGTGGAGCCAACAGTGCAGTTGGGTACATGCACATCTGACTGTAGAGGGGAAGAAGAGAGGTTCCTGCCCAACGCAACCATCATTAAACTTCTCCCCCATTAAGCTGATAGGTGATGCTTTCACTACACTTGTCCACCCCTGCCTCCCCAAAAGAAACACCACAGAAGATGATGTAGTCTTGGTGGAACCAGCTGTTCCTCTGGTTAGCATTATGCTAAGATAACCTTTCAGAGTCTGCCCCACGCTCTGCCTGATGCAGAACATGGGCATTCAAATGCCTGAGACATGGAAATCCCATTGTCAAAAGCAAGACAGCAGTGGTCTAGTATTTTATGGAACAGTTTCGATACAACAGGCAAGCTAACTAAAAGTAGTAGCTTTGACTGTGGTTCCCTATTTGTGTTCCCCCTGGGCTTCTGATCTTCATAAAAAAATTAAATAGAAGGGCTCGTACTTTGTAAACTGTAAAATGAATGTCAGATGAAAAGTTAAATGATCCATTTGACTCAACCAGCTGACTGAAGCACTCTGAGCTTTAAGGCCTTTGCCAGATTTGGGAGCTGGGAGAAGTTCAAGCAGCTGCACCGAGCTGGCTTTGAGGCAATTGCAGCTCCACTTGTGTGCAGCCTAAATCATCCCCTTGTACCTGCACATAAACAGCCCCAAATGAGATCGTTGGCCTTAACCTGCTTTCCAAGGTTTGTTTGAATGGAAGGAGGCATCAATGATGCAACCAGCAGATGGGATAGGACTGTTCCCTGAGAGATCACTGCAGCTGTGTGGAACTGATGAGGAAATGCATGTGGAAATACGGTAAGTGTAGGCCCTTTTGTAGCCTTAAAGTTTTGTGAAGATCTGCAGCAGTGCATCTGGAAATCAGTAGCTAGCTTTCTGCAGTTGGTTTGTTCATGGCTGCTCTGTTCTGTGCTGTTCTTTGTGTGATGTGTAATGCAGGTGATTTAATGAGCTAATTTGCTTTTCAGCTGTAGGAAATTGCATGGATTTAACACTGGTAAAAGGCAGCAGCTTGGCACAGCAGCTGGCTAATGAAGCTTTTTTTTTTTTGTGAAGCAGAAGTTGGGCAGCTGACCGTGTTGACTCACAGCAGGGCAGGAGCATGTTGGCAGGGAAGTTGTTGGGGGCTTTACCTGGGAAGGCAGTGGGTAGCCCAGCACTGACGGAGCACTGTGTTCCCTTTGCTGACTCAGGCATTGGGTTCAAGCAGTACCATGAGTGCGTGGGGCTGCTCTGAGATGCGTGGTGCAGGCTGGGGATGAGGTTTTCTGATTGCATCTGTGCTAGGCTTGTTACACCTGCGAGCATGAGGCTGGTATCTTGAAAGGTTTAACAGCATGATCCCTGTGATGTCACCCCAGCAGCCCTGTATTTGAAGGTGTTCTGTAAATTCCACAATGACCCTGCTGTGGCATGTTTGATCTCCTTCTGGAGAGACACTTCCAGGCCTGATGCTAAAAATACATTTCCAGTTTGGCAACATAAAGCTATCATGATGACTACAGCCACCTACCTGCATGCTGTCTTGCAGACTGGATTAGGTCTGACTGCTGTTGAATTCAAACCGATTTCCTGGTCCTGTCTTGGTTTGTGCAATCCCTGCTTCCTTTTCTGCAAAAACACTGGCAAAGCACATACATTTTTAATTGTAGCACTTGGCTTTAACATAAGGGCTATGATCATCCTGGAAATGCAGCTTCTAAGGCTCTTTTGTGGCTATAGGAGATCACTCGTACACATGCTGTCGTGTATCCTGTGGAAAAGATTCAGGAAAGCATCTGCAGGAGCGGTGACAGTTCCTGTGACTTGTATCGGGGGCTCTTTGGCAAGCATGGCCTCTGGATAGGCAGCAGCAAGCCTGCCCCTTCCCAGGTGCTGCTTCCAGGGCAGCGGCAAGAGCTCAGGACCCTGTTTTCATGCAGTTGAGCGGCACTGTGTCAAACTGTGCTGTTTGGATGCAGTCTCCCACGGTAATATACCCGGTGACATGAGCTGAGCCAGGGAAACACCACTGCGTGTTATTGCACAAGAAACAGCTGGCTGCTTCAGCTCTGCTGGGTAGTCTCGTCATCTCCCTCCTGAAAGCAAAAAGGTGGCAGATTTAAAGAGCAGAAAAAAAGTGCTTTTCATTCACTCAAACCCATGCTGCCCCTATGAGAGCAGCCAGCCGAACCGCAGCCTCGGGGGACTGCAAAACCTGCAGCAGGACCTGTGGTTTCAGATGTGCCTGAGGCTGTGTGTCAGTGCAGCGTTAAGCCGTGAACCCCAGTGCCTGAATCTTTACATTCCTGCCTCGGTTCCCCTGCGAGCTGCTGCCTGTCCCTGTCCTCCCTCCAGCCCTGGCAGATACGATCCTCTTCACAGCTGCAGCATGCAGCCATGTGCCTTGCCCAGCAAGAGAGAGAGTGGGATCAGGTTCTGCATCAGCTGGGGCTGCATCCCCTGATGCTGAGCTCCAGGGAAGATGAGTAACAGGAGGCAAGGTGCCAGCTCTGGCAGTGAGGAGCTCCGTGCCCACTCCCTGGCTCTAGCCCTTGGCTGCTGCTGTGCAGAGCAACAGGGACGTGGTAAAATGGGGGGACAGTGCCAGGTCCTGGTGTGGAAAAGGGGGGTGGACCCTCAATCTGGTGTCTGATTGTAGAGCAGGAGAGCTGGCAGAGACCTCTGGGTCTTCCTGCATGAAAAGCATTTGGATCCAGAGTAATTGCTTTTATAGAGCAAGGTGCATCCAACCCCATTGTTTTGTTTCCAGTGGTGGATTTAAGTGTGTGCCTGGGAGGAATAACAGCAGGATAAGCAGATGTGATGATGTGATGCTGCCCAAGTCTCATACAAGTTGTGGCTCGGAGACTATGAGTAACAAGTGTCATCCTTGGATTTTTCTTCCTTTAATGTAACTGTATTTGAGATCAAATAGGCTTCCAGTGCCTCAAGTTCTTGCAGCAAAGAGACTGAAGGCTCAGCCACATGCTATGAAGTGTCTCTTGTTTAAGTCTGTTGCCTGATGACTTTGCTTTATACACAATTTCTTGTGTTACAAGAGGCAGTGAGTTACCATTTCCCATTTACTTTTTATCTGCCACTCTTGATTTTGTTGGTAGCACACTGGCCATCTGTCCTTGTCCTACTGCCTCTCTTGTGGGACTGGCAAGAGAGAATGAGAAGCAGCACTAAAATTGCCCTAATTTCTGCCCTCTGAGGTTTGCCTGGCTCTGTTGGCAAGGACGCGTTTGTGGCAGCAGCGAAGGCACCAGCAAATACCAGGTTCTGCCATGCCTGCTGAGGGCCCAGCGCTGCTATGCAGGGGGTTTGAGACATCTCGCACCCTCTGTGTGGGTGTGAATGACCTTATGGATCAGCTAGAGAAGCGCTTTCCTGCTGGCAGAGGCAACTCCTTTGTAATTTGGCAGTGCCTGCAGTATTGTGGTGTTTTTGTTTTGAATGCTTTTGCTGATTTAGTGTCACTAAACAGCTCTGAGGCAGGAGTAAATTCTTAATCTGCTCTGACTTCCTTCCTCCACCCTGTCTACATACATGACAGCTCTGTACTGAGATCACGGCTGGAGATCTGCCTTTCCAAAATACAAGAGCAGAGACCTCTGGAATTACAGCTCGCACCAGGATCGTCTATTCTTCTTCTTCCTAGTGGACAGGTCTCTTTAGAAGTTTTCACCTCCACAGCACTTGCACAGCACATGATGTACTCCTAAGGATTCCCCATGAGTATGCTGCACAAAGTATCAGCAGCACAGAGAGGGGAAGCATGAGCAGCACGAAGATGGTAGGTAGGAAGTGATAGTTCACGTTTTCAGACAGTAGATGAAAGTGCACTACACAGTTAAAATCAGTTGGGGCAGGGAGGAAGCTTCCTTATGTGTATTCTTTACAGTTTACTAGTAACTTCCAAGATCATCTTGTCTGCTTATTTATAGCTCCGGGTCTTTGTCCTTGTTTTTCTGATGCAACCTTAAAAAAAAAAGAATTTAAAAAAAAAATCACTTTTCTCTGTGGTTGTTTTACCTGACAGTTTCTCAGTCATGATTTCTGTTGTTATGATTTTTTTAATAGTGTTTCTGTTGAGAAATGTGACTTTTAATGCATTGAACCATGTTGGCTGGACTCGGGCACTGCAAAATATGTTTTGGGGGTTTTTTAGCAATCTTTTCTTTAGCCTAGATAGAGCTTCACTTCAGTCTCTCCTGGAAAATGCTGGAAAGGTGAGCTGGTAAAGCAAAAGGGAAAAGGGATGGCTTTCCTGGGCTCCTGGGAAACAGCCACATGAAGGATGAGCATTTCATCTCTGTGCTCGGGAGATCCACTTCTTTCGCTGGATGACACTCAAATCTCGGTGAGTCCCAGTACCTCCCACGTCTCAGCACTCTAATACCTGTAAGATAACTTGTCAATACAACCACCTCACA